AGGTATATTGAAGTCTGAACTCCTATACCTGTGAATGTGACCTTGTTTGGTGATAGGATTTTTCTTTTGTTATCAGTTATAAGTTAACAAGGTCATATCAGAGTAGGGTGTGTCTTAATCCCTTCTGAGTTGTGTCTTATAAAAGGGGAGAACGGACACAGAAACAGTCACACATAAGGGGATGACATCTTGTGAGAGTCTGTCTACAAGCCAAGGAACATCAAGAAATGCTCAGATTTACCAGAATCAAAGAGACAAGGATCTTCCCCTAGAGCCAACAGAGAAAGAGCATAGCCCTGCCAATGCCCTGAATTCAGACTCCTAGCCTACGGAGCTGTGAGATAATAAATTTCTCTTCTTTACAGCCACCCACTCTGTGGTATTTTGTTAGGGCAGATGTAGGAAACTAAAACAGCAGGTCTTAGCTATGGATATGAGTCAAGGATATGAGAGGGCTCCCAGTTGACAGCCAGCAAGGAAGCAGGGACCTCAGTTCTACAACCACAAAGTACTGGATTCTGCCAACAACCCTAATAAACTTGGGAGTGGATTCTTCCCGGAGCATCTCTATTAGAGCACAGCTGGCTGACACCTTGATTTCAGCCTTGGGAAATCTGAAACATAGAGATCAGCTGAGCCAAACTGGACTTCTGCCCTACAGAATTATGAGATAATAAATTTGTGCTGTTTGAAGGCACTAAGTTTGTGGTAATTTGTTATGGCAGCAGTAGAAGACCAATGCACTATAGAATGACATCCATGTTCCTTCACAGGTATTATAGATTGAATTGTGTCCTCCCAAAAATATGTAGTGAAATTCTTACCCCTGTATCTGTAGATTTGGTCCTGTTTGGAAATAGGGCTTTCTTTTGTCATGTTCAGAGTTCCTAGGTGACACACTCAGCTACTAACTGAAGGGTTGATGGTTCAAATCCACTCAAAGGTGTCTTCGAAGAAAGACCTGGCAATCTACTTCCAAAAAATCACAGCCATTGAAAACCTTATGGAGCACAGTTTTACTCTGACACACATGGAGTCGCCATGAGTTGGAATCAACTATAAGGCAACTGGTTTTTGTTGTTATTCTGTTAATAGGATCATATCAGAGTAGGGTGGGTCCCAAATCTAATCACTTCTGAGTTATATAAAAAACCAGAATAGACACAGAGCCATACACAGAGGGAAGAGGAAGACAGACAGTGGAGACAAATGTATCTACAAGCCCAGGAATGCCAAGGATTGCTGGCAGCTACTAGTAGCTGAAATAGACAAGGAAGGAACTTTCCCCATAGCCACACCCTGAATTTGGACTGTTAGCCTCCTGAACTGTGAGAAAATAAATTTCTGTTCTTTAAAGCCACCCACTTGTGATATTTCTGTTATGGCAGCAGTAGTTAAGACAACAGGAATCCAAAACCCTCATGAACTGCTTTCCAACCCACCTTTCTAGCTCTGTCTTCTCTTATGTCCCTCCATGTACTCCAGCTACAAATGACATCTCACCATCCGTTGACCCCACAGCCCTGTGTTCTCTCTCATCTGTGCTTTTAGATTGGACCTTCCCCCTACTCTCTGCCTGGAAAGACTTTTCTTCATTGTGATGGGCCAGTGGATCTGCCAATGGACAGTTTCAAAGGGCAAATTATTTAGCATGTGTGTTATCAGTTCATTTGTACATAAAATATAAAAACAATAGTTCACTCAACAAGATTTTTTTTTTTTTAAATACTTACTGTGTACCAAGAGCTGGGTACAAAGCAGTTGAACAGTTTTCTAATAAAAATATTATTGCTTGGAATTCTTTTTTCATAAGGTGTGCTGTGATAATACATTTTCTTCCTTGGTAATAACTGGGGACCACTGGCTGAGAAAGAGAAATATATAAAAATGAAAAGGATCATGGAGATAATTGATTCAACCAATTACAACTCTTTTATTTTAAGGAGGAGGAAAATTAAAGGGGAGAGAGAGTGAGGGGGTTGCTTTAGGTCACGTACTGGGTTAATATCAGATACAAGATTTACATCTCTGGACCCCAGACTTCGAGGCCAACCCCGTTTCCACTATTCCTTGATTATTCCACGTGCATGTGTAATAAATGTTATAAACAAACAGAAAAACTCAAATAGTCTAGCACTCCACAGTACCCACAGTGAGAAACCATTGCTATCAAATGTGAAACCTCCCACAGCTAGTCTTAACAAGAGAAACAAAATACGAACAGCCCCAAATATACCCGATGTTATGAAAACACAGTCTTTAATGGTCTCCAGAGGCAATATCTTAGAAATTAGTAATATGGATATTTTCCCTCTTAAAACAGAATCTTGACAATCAAAATTACATGAATCCTTCTTTATTTTCCAAATCAATAGATTATGAGTTTTTTTTTTTCAGTTAAAAATAACAGAAAGAAATTCTTTAAAATGTCGCTTCTAACAACTAAAAGGCAAAAATAATGCAAATGAAATAGTGGGCTCAAGCATTCCACGAGGTTGAAAAGAAGTTAAAATAATAGAGGATGTATGGAATTGTGCTGAAACTCGAAAGTTTATTTATAGAGCAAAGAGAAATTTGTAGGGGTAGTGAGCATGGCAATAGTGGAATTGCAAAGGAAAATATACCTTGTATACAGATGACTCAGTATAGGTGATGAGCCAAAGCTGTTGAGAATTGTTTTCACTGTTAGTGTAGCTGCAGGGGCTGAGCTCTTGATTTTTTTTTTTTTTTTTTAACTTGAAGAGAGATGGGGATTTCCTTTAAGGGTTCTTTGAGAGGCCTGGCTTCAATGCCTGGTTGCCTTCTGAAGCTGGAAAGAGTAGAATACAGTCTGTCCAGTCAATCATATCTCTAGGGAAATATTCAAGCAGTTTATTGAGGACAGAGCCTTTGAAGTTGTCTAGTTGTCCAATGTCTGTGTGTTTTGGAGTGGGTGAGTAGAAGACTTTTTATCTCATTGGCAGGCTGAGAAGTCAGAGGGTGGTCATCCTACCTTGTCTTTGGACCTGTTGTCCCTGCGGCCTGTTTTTGGTGGGTTCCTTCTTAAAATATCACACTAGCTGATGTGAAGACTCACTATAAAGCTACAGTAATTGAGACAACTTGAAACAAGCTCAAGAATAGACAAATAGATCAATAGAATAGAATAGAAGGTTAAGAAATAGACTAAAGAGATCAGCTGCTAACCAAGAGGTCAGTAGTTTGAATCCACCAGCTTCTCCTTGGAAACCCTATGAGGTAGTTCTACTCTGTCCTGTAGGGTTGCTATGAGTTGGTTTGGTTTTGACACATATATAAGTGACCTGATGTTTGGCAAAGCACCAATGCAATTCTACTGGAAAAGAATGATCTTTTCAACAAATGGAGCAGAAGTAATGAATGAACATTTGGAAAAATTGAATTTTGAGCCCTACCTCACATCATACATAAAATTAATTCTAGATAGATCACAGACCTAAATGTGAAATATAAAACAATAAAGCTTCTAGAAGAAAATATAGGAATGTATCTAGGTGACTTTGGGATAGGCAAGAATTTCTTACACTAAACACAATAAAAACAACACTAACTTTAAAAGAAAAAAATTAAATTGTACTTTATCAAAATTAAACTACACATGCGCACGCACGCACATATATATACTCTTCATCCGAAAACATCATTGTAAAAGTAAAATAACAAATAACAAGCCACAGAATGGGAGAAGATAAAAATGAATGTATTCAACAAAGAACTTATATCTAGAATATATTATAACATACCTCTTACAAATTAATAAAATATAAACCAAAATACAAATATGAGCAAAACACTCGAACAGACATTTCACCGAAGAGATCATCTAAATTGTTGATTAACACATGAAAAGATGCTCAACTTCATTAATCCTCAGAGAGATGCAAATTATAACTACCCCTACATACCCCCTAAAACCAAAAAACTAAACCCCTTATCATGGAGTGGATTCCAACTCACAGCCACCCTATAGGACAGAGTAGAACTGTCCTCATAGGATTTCCAAGGCTGTAAATCTTTAGGGAAGCAGACTGTCACATCTCCTTTTAGTTAGCAGCTGAGCACTTAACCACCACATCATGAGTGCTCCTTCCATAACCGCAAAACCAACCAAACCCATTGCCACCAAGTCAATTTCAACTCATAGCGACACTGTAGGACAGAGTAGAACTGCCCCCTAAGGTTTCCAAGGAGTGGCTGGTGGATTCAAGCTGCTGACCTTCAAGTGGTAACATCAGAGTGCGATGGTTGATATCAGCTAGGTAGAGAATGAGGCAATGTTCAGGGATACTGGAAATGTTCTATATCTTGATCTGAGTGTTGATTAAACAAGTATAAATAAATTAAAAAATCATTACTATAAGCTTCAGATTTGTGCACATCATTACATTTATTTGAGCTATACTTCTTAGGCTGAGTTCTCTAGAGAAGCAAAACCAGTGAAGTCTGTATAGAGAGAGAGAGAGAGATTTATCTCAAGGAAATGGCTGACAAGGTTGTAGTAAGTCGCAGGTATGTTGGTTAGACATGCCCTCTACCCTGGGCCCTGTCCCTCCTCCCCTAGCCTAGGGAGAATTGCAAAAGTCAGCAGAAAGTCATGTCCACTGGCAAAAGGTGCTGCGCGCAGGTGCTCCAGGGGAGGGCTGGACCTCGGATGCTCCTGACTCCCCGAGGAGCTGCCAGCATGGAGGGCGTGGCAGTAGGCTTCCCAGGCGGGCAGCAGGCCAGAACTCGGTGGGAAGATTGAGGAGGAGCTGAGACTTGGCACCAGGCCGGGATCCTGGAGACAGGCTTGAGGCAGGGTCCTCACCACTGCTTGCAGGTTGACAGTCGGCGGATCTTTCTGCTAGCAGGGTTGGGGGAGGTGCTGGTGCGGCGCTTGGCCTTTGACTTGGGGTCCTGCTGGGCTGCCTCGGTGATGTTCATGCACAAGGCCTTGGGCAGGCCCACATTCTGACCCGCCTCCACCTCCGGGATCTGTCCAGGCACGGTGAAGTCCTGAGTGTAATTGATGTTGTCCTCAGGGTCGAAGAGGCCCTCGTCAGCGTCGCGGGTGCAGCCATGCAGATCTTCGAGGTAGGGCACGACTGTCATGCTGCGCCACCAGTCACTGGTGTCTGGGTTGGGCGGGATGGGCACCAGCGCCTCAGCCAGCGGGTGCTTCTTCCGGAACCAGATGTGCTGCCGGATCTGCTGGATAGAGAGCCTCCTGACTGGCTGGTACTCAAGCATCCTTCTCAGCAGGTCAGAGAGCAGCGGGCCACAGTCACCTGGAATCGTGTAGTCCCCCTTCCTGATGTTCTGGAACAGCTCATAGATGGTGTCCCCATTAAAAGGGTGCAGGCCCGTGGTGATGATGTAAAGCGTGACCCCTGCCGACCAGATGTCCGCCTTAAACCCAGAGAAGGTGTCCTGGCCGTTCACGATCTCGGGTGGCTGGAAGGCTGGCGAGCCCTGGCTGATCCGGCATGTGTCGTCCTCGGCAAACGGGTGCAGGGCCTCGGCCGCGCCCAGGTCGGAGATCTTGAGCGTCCCACTGGTGGTGAGCAGCAAGTTCCCGGGCTTGATGTCCTTGTGCACGATGCCCTGGCTGTGCAGGTACTCCAGCCCATCGATGAGCTGGCAGAAGTACCCATGGGCCTGGCACACGGGGAACATCTTCTCAGGCACACTGTCCAGCATCTCCTGCATGTCACACACACAGTACTCCATCACCATATACGTCTTCTGCTTCTCCTCGTTGCACAGCACATCCACTAGCTGGATGATGTTCCGGTGCTGCAGCCGCCGCAGGATCTGGATCTCCTTCTTCAAGTTGGCGACCCCGTTGGGGATCCTCCGCGGCTTATTCTTCTTGAGGATCTTGACGGCGCGTCGGCACAGTGTCTCCAAGTCCAGCACCTCCTTCACCTTGCTGTAAGAGCCTTCCCCCAGCAGGTCCCCCATCAGGTACTTGCCGATGAGCTTGGCGTGCTTCCGGCGCCGCTGGTAGATGGCCTCCAAAGAGTCGTTGCACTGGATGAAGGTGTCCATTCCCACAGACATCAGCTCAGTCTCGGTGAACATGCCCAGTTGCTGGGGGTCCACCACATCCATGCTGGACCTGTGCGGAGTCCTGCTGCCCTTCTTCCTCTTGCCTCCAACAACAAGGAAGTCCCTTCTTCAAAAAGAAGCGATTGTAGGCATCAGTCTGAGGCTTCTCACTCGCGTATCTGCAGGGGCTGACAAACCCAAGATCAGCAGGCAATATGGCAGGCCACTAGCTGGAATCCAAGAACAACCAGAGGTCAGCCCAATGACGAACCAAAGGCAGGAACCACAGCAAGAGTGAGCCTTGCTGGAACATCCCTTTATATACTGGAGGCAGGCCACACCCACAAGAAAATTCCCCTTTCTGCTGATTGGCAGATCGTAGCAGATCTCTTCATGGAAGTGACTGCATTATATCAGATCTCATCAACGGGGTGATTACATTATTACAAAACTGCCCAACTATAGTTAACTGCCAAACCACTGAGAATCATGGCAGAGGCAAGTTGACACACCATCTTAACCATCACAACCTCTTAACTTTTTTTTTTTTTGAGGAATTGTTCTATGGTTAATAATATATATCTTTTTATTAATCAACATCTAACTTTACATAATATTTTGCCACTTCACATATAGTGTAAGAATCTTCCAACAATATATTCCATTTCTGTTTCCATTCTCGGTTTTCTTGTTATTTTACATTTTACATCTACATATATTATAAACAGCAACAACAACAACCTCCCCTCCTTGCCGTCCAATGGATTCTGACTCATAGCGATTCTATAGGACAGAGTAGAACTGCCCCCTAATTTCCAACGAGTGCCTGGTGGATTCAAACTGCCGACGTTTTGATTAGTAGCCATACCTCTTAACCACTACGCCACCAGGGTTTCCACATAGGTTATAAACTTCCATAATTTTGTAGTATTATTTTCCTTTATATGGTCAATTATCTTTGTCAGAGCTTTTAAAACTGGGAGGAATATATTCTATATTTACCCACGTATTTACCATACCCAGAACTCTTCATTTCTTTGTGTAGATACAAATTCCCTTCTGGTATCATTTTCCTTCTGTTTGAAGAACATCTTTTGACATTTCTAGGACTGACAATGACTTCTCTCAACTTTTGTTTGCCGGAAAAACTCTTTACTGTGTCTTCACTTTTGTTTTATTTTATTTTTATTTTGTGTTTTATTGTTGTAGTTTAAATGAAGTTTCCATTTCAAGTTAGTCTCCCATACAAAAATTTATACGTACATTGTTATGTGACCCTAATTGCTCTCC